TGCTGGTAGGCAGACACCACCCATCTACAATGTGGCCCTAGTTAGGGAATTTGGAATATGTATGTAAACCGCTCAGAGACCTGCCAAAAGGTTAGAGCGGTATATAAATTGAATGTATAAATAAATAAAGATGGAGCAGATCTATTCTCTCTTGCTCCGGATTGCAAGACTAGATTTAATAGGTGGAAATTACAAGGGAGCTAAATATCAGGAGAAACGTCCTAACTGTAAGAGTGGTTGAGCAGTGGAGCAGACTGCCTCGGGAGGTGGTGGATGCTCCTTCGCTGGACGTTTTCAAGCGGAGGCTGTACGGCCATCTTTCGGGTATGTTGTAGGGCTCTCTTTCGGCTGTGCTCCTGCAGAGTGGAGGGGGTTGGACTAGATGACCTGCAAGGTCCCTTCCAACTCTAACATTCTATGATTCTCTCAAGCAAGACTAGAATTTCTTTCCTCACTCAATGTGCCTGTAAATAAAAACGTTTCTCAGAGCAATGGAAAGGGAATTGCCTCCTTCCTACCAGTGTATCCAGTGCATACAACTCTGACATAGAAGGCTGTCGCAGGGCTCTTTCTGTAGCAGGAACTCCTTTGCATATTAGGTGACACACCCCTAATGTAGCCAATCCTCCAAGAGCTTACAGAGCTCTTCTTACAGGGGCTACTGTAAGCTCTCGGGGGATTGGCTACATTAGGGGGGGTGTCGCCTAATATGCAAAGGAGTTCCTGCTACAGAAAGAGCCCTGCGTTGTATGGTTAGCCTCTTATATTGAGGCAAGAACCCAACAGGCTTATCAGCCTAACCAACATGATAGAAGAATGAATGCTCATGGAGGCCGCAAAATGGCATGAACAGAGGAAAAGAGCAAACGAGATGAATGATTGGCTTCACTGAAGTGGACCAGTCTCCCCTCCTCCCCCAAGGCAAGGGCCAGATCTAGGAAAACAAGCCCAAATTGTGCCTTTTGCTACAGGAAGAAATTGGTACTGTCCCACAACCAGGCACTGTTCTGGGGTGCAGGGGGGTAAAGTGGAGTGATCTGGATTCATTTGTTGTGCGTGTGGACATTTTAATTCATGCTGGAACTGTTATGATCCTAAAGCCTCTCTGGGCTTAGACAGGATGGTTATTGTTTGCAGCACGGCCACCCTTCCATTAGGCAGAGTGAAGCAGTCCATTTCAGGCAGCAACTTTTGGTTCCCATCAAGGGTCGCAAACTTGTTTTGTAAACAATTTATATTGTTATTACGACAGATGACATATTTTTTTGGCTATGTCACCAAGACCCCTTTCTCTCTGAGCCGAACTGGCTTAACAGCCATTTATTCTCCTGAAAGAACCCTGTGAACTCTAGTTCAGTGTGTGAAGTAGGAATTTAGAGAATTTTTTTTTTCATCCCCCTGGGGGGAGGTTTTTATTGATTTTTTTTGCAGACTACGAAACTGCTGGCCTGGATGGCCACGGGAAAACATCAACAACCTCAGCTATGCAGACGATGCCACTCTAATGGCAGAAAGTGAAGAGGACCTCAAGAGTCTCTTGCTCAGGGTAAAAGAGGAGAGCGCAAAAGTGGGCTTGAAACTCAACATCCAAAAAACTAAGATCATGGCATCCGGCCCCATCACTCCTTGGCAAATAGAAGAGAAAGTTGTGGAAGCAGTGATAGACTTCACGTTCCTGGGATCCCAGATCACTGCAGACGGTGACTGCAGCCATGAAATTAAAAAAGACGCCTGCTCCTTGGGAGGAAAGTGATGGTGAACCTAAACAGCATGATAAAAAGTAGAGACATCACCCTGCCAACAAAAGTCCGCATGGTCAAAGCAATGGCATTCCCAGCAGTCATGTATGGCTGCGAGAGTTGGACTATAAGGAAGGCCGAGCGCCGAAGAATAGATTCTTTTGAACTATGGTGCTGGAGAAGACTCTTGAGAGTCCCCTGGACTGCAAGAAAATCGAATCAGTCAATCCTAAAAGAAATCAACCCTGACTGTTCCCTGGAAGGCCAGATAATGAAACTGAAGCTCAAATACTTTGGCCACCCAATGAGAAGGGATCACTCCCTGGAGAAGAAGGCCCTGATGCTGGGAAAGACTGAAGGTCAAAGAAGACGGGGACGGCAAAGGATGAGATGGTTAGACAGTGTCACAGATGCAACGAACATGAAATTGAGCAAACTTCAGAGGACGGCGGAAGACAGGAGGGCCTGGTGTGATCTGGTCCATGGGGTCGCGAAGAGCCGGACTCGACTGTGCGACTGAACAACAACAACAAACATCTTGCTTTCAAATTTAGCCTGATAATCCCGCCCTAGGAATATTTGCTGTACTGTCCCCTCACCATATTCTGCTCCTCATTGCCTCTTTCAGCTGAAGACTTAGACTGTCTCCCTACAGACAGGCTAGGAAAGCAATCGACTAGGTAGGAGCTGGCCACAGCCAAGGTCATTCTGTTAGAGGACACCCCCCCCCATGATGAGCACCATCCTCGCTGCATGGGGGGGCTTGTAGTCTTTCCCTTTCCAAGGCTCCTGCCCAGCTGGCTCATCCTGTTACACTCAAGGAGCAGCTGTGTGCCTTTGTTCAGCGGCAGACTGTAGAGCCCTGCAGGGCCGATAGACGAGACAGACAGATTTCATGGACGTAAGCAACAAACCCAGTAAATAATAACACGAGTACGATACAAAACAATGCAAAATCTTGATGCAGTTATTCTTGACCCTGTTTTGGCTCTGCTCCTGAAATGTTTACTCTTTACGTCCTGACGGAGCTGTGAAGTGTGCAAAGGAGACTGAAACGTCCTCGTTCTTCAAGTTCCCGGACAGTATTTATCACTCCATTTGAAAACATGTAGATCCAGGGAATGTCAGAGATAAAGAGAACGCCCTTTCCTAGGATTAAACAGCAGTTCCGTATGTCTATTGTATTTGTTTTCGATACATTTATGGGGTTGCAGGGGAGCAACTGGTCTCATAAGCGTTCTTCTTTCTTACTCTGTAGTCGGTCATTGAGGAAGAGGGGGTGACTCTGGAGGCCATTCTGTGCACGCACAAGCACTGGTAAGACACGCCGTGTTTCCACTTTCCCAGGGTGAGCTGAAGGTTTAAGATGTGTGTTTGGTGTAGTGGTTAAGTGTGCGGACTCTAATCTGAGAGAACCGGGTTTGATTCCCCACTCCTCCACTTGCACCTGCTGTGACCTTGGGTCAGTTACAAGCTCTGGCACAGCTGTCCTTGAAAAAGAGCAGTTTCTGTCAAGAGCTCTCTCAGCCCCACCTACCTCACAGGGTGTCTGTTGTGGGGAGGGGAAGGGAGAGGAGTTTGTAAGCCACTCTGAGGCTCCAAGTGAAGGCCGGGGTATAATTCCAATCTCCTCCTCCTCCGCCGCCAGTTTGGTGTAGTGATTAAGTGCGCGGACTCTAATCTGGGAGATCCGGGTTTGATTCCCCACTCCTCCACTTGCACCTGCTGTGACCTTGGGTCAGTTACAAGCTCTGGCACAGCTGTCCTTGAAAAAGAGCAGTTTCTGTCAGAGCTCTCAGCCCCACCCACCTCACAGGGTGTCTGTTGTGGGGAGGGGAAGGGAAAGGAGTTTGTCAGCCGCTCTGAGAAGTGAAGGATGGGGTATAAATCCAATCTCCTCTTCTTCGTCTTCTGAAAATATGTGCCGAGCAGTCCCTTTTGCAGCCCACTTAACGCAAACAGTAAATCCAGACAACAAGGGGGAAAGACTAGCGTCACAGCAGTCCCAAATATACAAATCCCTCTAGTAGGAAACACCATCAAAGATTGCCAAAACAATATGTTAAACAATTATAAAGTTGGTGGTGTCTCAACCAGTGTTCTCTCTAAGCTGAGTTAGTGTGAGCTAGCTCAGGTTTTTTAGCCTTCGGCACCTTAGCTCAGGAAGGAGGGCTCCAGAGCAAACTAATTTATGCAGTGTCCAAATCGCTCGCTCACCGCTTTAATGCCAGTCGCTCACAAAGTAGAATTTTTGCTCACAAGATCCCACAGCTTAGAGGGAGCATTGGCCACAACAGCAACATTAATGCATACTGTAACTATAATAAGGCATAAGATGGCAATATTTCCTCCTTTGAAGATATGTCAAATTCCATGTAGTCATTTTAACTTGATAGGAGGAGTCCACAGAGTCATAACGTTTTCCAAACAGCCTTTGCAAAGGCGCCCATTCTAGATACTTGGAAGGTTTCGTTTCCTTCAACTTCTTCAGTTTGCCGGCTGTGTAAGTGGAACCTGATTTCGGCCAATTTCAACAGACTATAAGGTTCACGGTATAAAGAAGCGAATCATCTTTGATGGTGTTTTCTTGGTGAGAGCCAGTTTGGTGTAGTGGTTAAGTGCGCGGACTCTAATCTGGGAGAACCGGGTTTGATCCCCCCACTCCTCCACTTGCACCTGGCTGGATGACCTTGGGCAAGCTGTAGTCCTGTCAGAGCTGTTCTTGAAAAAAAAGAGCAGTTTCTGTCAGAGCTCTCTCAGCCCCACCTACCTCACAGGGTGTCTGTTGTGGGGAGGGGAAGGGAAAGGCGTTTGTAAGCTGCTACCTTTGGGGAGTGAAGGATGGGGTATAAATCCAATCTCCTCCGCCTCTTCTTCTTTTTCTTCGTCTACTACTACTAGTAGTAGTAGTACCGCTACTACTACTACTAGTAGTACCGCTACTACTAGTAGTAGTAGTACTAGCAGTACCACTACTACTAGTAGTAGTTGAATTTGTATATTTGGGACTCTTAAGGCAAGCAGCATTGGGAGGCAAGGGGACAGGTGGTGTAATCTTCAGGATCACCACCCCCCAGTGTGGCTACTGGGAAGGAATTGCCTCCTCGTGTCTTAATTAGAAATAAACCTTTTTCTGGGCACTGACCTCAGGAAAGAGAGATGAGGGCTAGCGGGAAAGACAAGCTCTCTTTGTTGCCTAATGAGCTTCATTCTGCAGGGATCACAGTGGGGGGAATGCATCACTCCGGCGGAGGCACACTTCCTGTCGGGTCTATGGCAGCAGCTGCGATGACATCCCTGAACTGACAGAGTGAGTGACAGACGGACTTCTGATTCCCGGCACAGATAACATGCTTCCCTGCCAAGCCTGGAAGGGAAAGGCAGCTTTCACCATTAACCCTTCCCTGGTTGGGGGGCTGTGTAATAAAGAGGCTGCCATTCTCCGTCACTATGAAAAGAGAAAAGAGCAAGAGTCCAGTAGCACCTTAAAGACTGCTATCTGAAGAACATAAGAGAAGCCAATGTTGGATCAGGCCAGTGGCCCGTCCAGTCCAACACTCTGTGTCACACAGGGGCCAAAAATACCAGGGGCCACCAGGAGGTCCACCAGTGGGGCCAGGACACTAGAAGCCCTCCCACTGTTGCCCCCTCAAGCACCAGGAAGACAGAGTATCCCTTGCCCCAGACAGTGTATTCCATCTATAAGAACATAAGAGAAGTCAATGTTGGATCTGGCCAGTGGCCCATCCGGTCCAACACTCTGTGTCACACAGGGGCCAAAAATACCAGGGGCCACCAGGAGGTCCACCAGTGGGGCCAGGACACTAGAAGCCCTCCCACTGTTGCCCCCTCAAGCACCAGGAAGACAGAGCATGCCTTGCCCCAGACAGTGTATTCCATCTATAAGAACATAAGAGAAGTCAATGTTGGATCTGGCCAGTGGCCCATCCGGTCCAACACTCTGTGTCACACAGGGGCCAAAAATACCAGGGGCCACCAGGAGGTCCACCAGTGGGGCCAGGACACTAGAAGCCCTCCCACTGTTGCCCCCTCAAGCACCAGGAAGACAGAGCATGCCTTGCCCCAGACAGTGTATTCCATCTATAAGAACATAAGAGAAGTCAATGTTGGATCTGGCCAGTGGCCCATCCGGTCCAACACTCTGTGTCACACAGGGGCCAAAAATACCAGGTGCCCTCAGGAGGTCCAGCAGTGGGGCCAGGACCTTAGAAGCCCTCGCACTCTTGCCCCCCCCTCCAATCACCAAGAAGACAGAGCATCCCTTGCCCCAGACTGAGAGTTCCTATCTATAAGAACATAAGAGAAGCCAATGTTGGATCAGGCCAGTGGCCCCTCCAGTCCAACACTGTGTCACACAGTAGCCAAAAATTCCAGGTGCCACCAGGAGGTCCAGCAGTGGGGCCAGGACACTAGAAGCCCTCCCACTGTTGCCCCCCCCCAGCACCAAGAACACAGAGCATCCCTTGCCCCAGACCCAGAGTTCCTACCTATACCTTGTGGCTAATAGCCACTGATGGACCTCTGCTCCATATGCTTATCCAAATCCCTCTTGAAGCCGTCCATGCTTGTAGCCGCCGCCACCTCCCGTGGCAGTGAATTCCATGTGTTAATCACTCTTTGGGTGAAGAAGGACTTCCTTTTATCCATTCTAACCCGACCGCTCAGCCATTTCATGGAGTGCCCCGAGTTCTCGTCTTGTGAGAGAGGGAGAAAGGAACTTCTTTCTCTACCTGCTCTACCGCTCAGCAGTTTCATGGGAGTGCCCACGAGTTCTCGTCTTGTGAGAAAGGGAGAAAAGTGCTTCCTTCTCGACCTGCTCTATCCCATGCATCATCTTGTAGACCTCGATCATGTCACCCCTCAGCCGTCGTTTCTCCACGCTAGCGAGCAGTGACTCCCAAAAGCTCATCCCCTGCCACGTATTTTGGTAGTCTTGAAGGTACTACCGGACGCTTGCTCTTTTCTACCGCTACAGAGAGACTAACAGGGCGGCCCATCTCGATCTGTGAAAAGCGCGTCGCTGTGCCATTCATTCGTCCACAGGAAGTTAAGCCCAGCGGGGAAAGCCCCCCCACCCCCACCCCCACTATCCTGAAGGGCATGCGAAGCCCCTACGGATTTTCCAGGAGGGCTTCTGGTGACTTGTTCCCCCTCATGACCCATTTCTGTTTTCTAGTCCCCTCTCAGACAAGGAGACGATCATGATAGGACGGTTGCACTTCAAGGCCCTCTTCACTCCCGGGCACACAGTGGGGCATATGGTCTACGTGCTGGATGGGAAACCTTTTGAAGGGCCTTCTTCTCTCTTTTCGGGAGACCTCCTCTTCCTCTCTGGCTGCGGTAAGTTAGCAGTTGAATCGGGATTTCTTAATTTGGGGGGGGCCTTAAATAAGTCAGGGGGCACCCCTGCACACCCCGTCCAGCGGTGTCCCGTCCGGTGGCACGGAAATGGAGGGCGGGGCTGACTGGCAAATCCTCTGCTACCACCTATGTTGAGTTTTTTTTTTAAATGGTTTTTTTGCAGAGATAAAATAGGTTAGCAGTGCCAGAGTAAAACAATTCAGACTCAGAGTCCATGTGTGATTAAAATAGAAAGTTTTTACTACATTCTAGCATAGGCAGAGGTCATTTCGGGAGGGATCGCGGGGGATCGC